CCATAGAGCGTCAGCGTCAGGATCCGCAAGTTGGCCGACAACTGCCGCCGGGCGGACAACTGTTTCAGATTTTGGCATTACATGCACACGCACTTTGCAGAAGGGTCCGTGGAATTTCCCTGCCAGCAACAGCTCCCTGTCATTGCAGAAATTCAGGCACCGGGCTGCAGGGCTTCTGTGTCTACAATGCCTCTGGGTCAAGCATACGGACGTTGTTGTCAACATCGGACGAAGCCTGAAGTGCAGTGGGGGGTTTGTGTACCGAGGCCTGCGGTGGAGGAACTGGCTCCGGCTTGGGCTGCCTCATGCTCGAGCGCTTGTCCGTGGACTACGGAAAGAAGAGCAAGATTTCCTTCACCGTCTGGTGCTGCCCGCAGGTAGCAACGGCAGTCGTCGAGCCGTACAACACCGAGACTCGGCTTCGGCGTATTCGGGTTTGCGGTTGTAGGTGGCTTTGTTGAGAACTGGCACGTGGCTCTTGTTGAAAACCACGTTCTGGCCAAGGTGTTGTGCGTTCACTCGCTCTTGGAGCATACCGACGTGACGATCATGTACGACAACGAGGCCCTCTACGATATTTGTCGCAGGATCCTCGTCGTTCGATCATTTTAGTTTTCGTGCTTTCCTGTGGCCCGGAGCCAACTTCAAGCTGTGCGTCCATCGGTTCCTACTCAACCCGCCGCATCGAATAGTTTGAAGTTTGCATCCATTCCAGGACGATCGCCGTATGCTTGAACATGAAGCCGTAGACTGTTGCAAGCAGCACTGCACGCATGAGTTGGTGTGGGCGCATCTCAGGAACCTGGACATTGAGCGCCCCACGTACACCAATCTGAACCGCTTGATCGCCCAGATCATCAGTTCCCTGACGGCCAGCCTTCGCTTCGATGGAGCCTTGAACGTGGACATCACGGAGTTCCAGACGAACCTGGTGCCGTACCCGCGCATCCACTTCATGCTCACGTCCTATGCTCCGGTCATCTCTGCCGAGAAGGCCTACCACGAGCAGCTGTCCGTGGCTGAGATCACGATGTCCGTCTTCGAGCCGGCGTCCATGATGGTCAAGCGCTAGCCTCAGTAAACCGGCTCCACCGCTTGCGCGAGAACTGCGATGAACTGCGGAAAAATGGTTTAGCAGGTGCGATCCTCGGCACGGCAAGTACATGGCCTGCTGCATGATGTACCGCCCGGGTGCCCGGAGAGCTGCAGCTGCGAGTCAGGGTTCAGATTGATTGCCCAGGCGGCGATGTTGTGCCAAAGGATGTGAACGCCGCCGTGGCCACAATCAAGACCAAGCGCACCATCCAGTTCGTGGATTCTGGGTTGCATTCGAGAATGTCGCTAATTCTCAGAATCTAAGAGCAGTGGCACAGACAGAAACAAATCACTGCATGAAGTGGGTAGTCGGACCGCGAGGCAACAGACCGGTTTGGATTTATATAGATCGATGTCTTAGCCGCCGTCCATGCGTCGCGAGTGAGTCTCGTGGCTTCGGTGTAACCTCCCACTCCCCAAAGCTGCAAGACATTCCAAGAGCCAGGGGTCTTCCTTGCACCTTTTTGAGCAATCTCCGTTCGTCCGTGTCCCTGTTGCCTCGTGTCGTCAAATGTGGCTCGAACCAGACCCGAATTTTTCCATCCCGCTTGGCTTCTCTCCATCGGAGCCTTTCCAGGACTGGTGCCCCACGGGCTTCAAGTGCGGCATCAACTACCAGCCGCCCACCGTGGTCCCAGGCGCCGAAGTCTGTGAGTGGCCGTAGGAAGCTCTTACAAGCTTCGGACATTTGCAGGTTTGGGGTTCTGCCGAGGGCAGGGGCTCGAGGTTTTNNAGCTTAGACAGGAAGAGGACGTTTTCCGTTTCGATTCTTTGGGTGTGACAGGCCCGGATGTGGAAAACACTTGGCTTGCCTTTCAATTCCCGCTGAATCCCGGGCCGACCACCCCGGCAAGGTGGTGACTTGGCGAAGGTCATGCGGGCCTGCTGCATGATCTCCAACTCCACGGCCATCGCGGCAGCTGAACTGCATTCTTTGCCTTCAGGGGGAATCAGTGGACAAGGGGAGATTTCCCAGACCTCGGTGGTCAGCAGGCTTTCGGATGTGCAGGGAAAGCCTGTCGGAAGGCAGATCCTCAACTTCAGGTCTAATGGGAGGTTTTGAGCTGACTGCCTTCACCGTGACGGTGCCCAAATCGCGCTTGCTCCGCTTGATCGGGATCTTGTGATGTCAAGGAAGTCTTCTCGCGTATCGACCACAAGTTTGACCTGATGTACTCGCGGCTCGGCGCTGTAGTGTTCTGACCCTGTCAAAGCCGGAGGGTTAAAGACTTTTCAGAGTCTCCGCGGCGCGCGACAAGCCCCCAATCCAATCTGCATGTCCTCTCTGCGTCTATGCAGTGTTTTTTTGGGTTTCGGATTTGGTGAGCTTTGATGTGGTCTTGTGTTATAGACTAGACATAGAGGCACTTACATGTCACAAATGTATGTACACTTTCTCAGCCAAGAACCTAGCACGACGGTGAAGAGAGCCTTCCGAACTTCGCAGCCCCATGCATTCACAAGAATTCTTGTAAACTTAGTGCAAAACTCTACGAATCCAGGTAATGCCTCCACGCCCCAGATGTTTCATGATAGTCGCACTAGGAAGCGAGCCTTCGTGCACCACTACGTGGGTGAAGGCACGGTTCCGGGAGCGAGCTGAACACTCCATAGTTTCTCATAGTCCTGCAGCCTGTTGTCACGATTTCGTTCCCAGTGATGCCGCCTTGGCAGATCCTTTTCTGCAGGCATGGAAGAGGGAGAGTTCTCGGAGGCGCGCGAGGACTTGGCTGCCTTGGAGAAGGAGCATCTTCCGTGCGGGGGTTGGGTTTCGATGGGTTTCGCTGCCCTGCATCTGGTCTGCCAGTGCTAGATGGCAACAGTCAACAGCTGACAGATTTGAGAGAGAGAGAGAGAGACAGAG